AATTTTGTAGGAAAATGCAGCTGCCATATTGCACACAGCAACGTCCCACAAACAGGCATGAAATGCATGAATATTTTATCAAATGTTTTCAAAGAAAATCAATCAAATGCTGTCAGAAACTGAGAGGGAGACAGCAGCAAAAATCCAGTAAGAATCTAAGGTTGTAAATTTCACGCAGTCTTTAACCTGAAAGACCACTTTTGTCTCAAAATTTAACATCACCATAAATTCGTGGAAAATTCTTTACTTCAGCCTTAATCTGGAAGTTGGTTCTAATTAAATGCGGAAAGTCTGCTTCAATGAAGACTGGATTTAACAATGTTCGTCTGACTGTGGTTACCATTGTATCACCAGTAGATAAAGTTAACCTGGGCCATCACAGTCTAAACCCATCACATTTCCTTTTAGTGGGTGAACAATCCGACCCTTGGTGATGTTTGCTTCACAATGATAGGAAAAGCTGACTTTGAGGAATCAACAGCCTTTCTACCAACCAGTCTTCCCAGGACTGTGGTTTCTGACATCTGCTATCTAACTCCCCAAATGATTGAGGATCTGAGCTGTTTTAACTTTTGGTCTTACAGACTGAAACTAGGTTGAATTTTAAGCCTTATAAATATTTAGTTGAGATTTTAAGGGAGACAGTGACCTGAGATACTGCATAAAAGAGAGTCTGAGGGCTGCATTTCATACACTCAGAAAGTTCTAAGGCACATTTGTAGGTGAGGATGTGGACCTGGAAGTTGATCCGCTGAGCCCTGAGTTGGTAGAGCTTTGTTCCCAGCACTGTTTTGGAGTGTCAGCCTAGACTGTGAGCTAGAAGCCCTAACATGGGATTTGAACTCACTATCTTCTGACTCAGAGGCGAGAGTGCTACCAACTGAGCCAGGCTGACATGCACAAAAAGGTTAATGGAACACAGTTAATGGTGCCCTAACGAGTGGACTTTACATGTGGAAATAATTGTATTGGACAGAAGTTGAATTCCTTGAAGCACAAGAACCAAGCAATGCAGTTGTGATTAATGTTTCACACGCACATTTACTGGTATCTGCACAGATCCAGAGAATGAAACGGTGGTAAGAAGATTTATACAGGACATGCGGAGGCTGATTCCTTGTATAATTGCCCGTAACTTTGCATGCTCCCTGCACACAGTCCTGGTGGAAACCCCTTGGGAGGCGAACCAAGGCTGATCTTCCTTTGTAATCGACAAAGCATTCAGCTTGGAAAACCGTAGTAAATTTCTGAATGAGTCTTTGTGCTTAGGATTTAGCAGTAAATCCTCTGCATGTGTTTGTGGTCTTTCTCGCTCTCCCTCTCTCTCCGAGTACCATCGGCAGGTCAGGCATTACATCAGTGCATTTTATTACACATTGGGTCTGATCATGATCATGGCATGAAAACAACACTTCTGAGTGAATGTAGCTATCTCTGAGAATGTTACGTACGGTTAAATAGAGTGATGAGGCACGGAAACAGACCATTTATCTCAACCAGTCCAAACTGATGTTTATACCTCCATATCAATCCCCTCACCAATACCTTTCTATGCCTTTCTCCCTCAGATATGCATTAAGTATGAAGGTGTATGGTGTTCTGGGCATATACTAAGGCACAGGCCATATCCATAGCACCTTGTTATAATACAGGTGTGCGTGGACACTTGAGAACTTGTCAGGTTTCTTGCAAACTGTGCATACACACAGGGAGTGATGCCAGTAGCGACCATTTTCAAAGGAAGTGAGATCCTCTTTGGCCCTTTTTTTACTGGAAGTTATGTCAGCAATGGCCATTTTCAGGAAACCAGCTGCCCCAGTCCCATGGTTCATTACTTATTCTCTTATCTGGCCCTAAAGGGAGTTTAACACTCCAATTCAGTATCGGGACATGAGTAGCGGATGAAATATTTAAACGAGTTGCCCTCAGCCTGTTCAAGTAGATGTTAAATATCCCATGCATTGATTGACAACCAGATTCCTACTTACTGCTAGGTAAACAGAGGCACGTGGAGTAAGGTTGATAAACCAGCTGGTATTTTATTATTAATAATAATAATAATATTTGATATTAGTGCCTTTCACATTCAGCAGACATTTCAAAGTACTTCACAGGATATACAGTAAAATGGAGTGACTGTATTTTGTAGGTAAAAAATGGCCCCTTCATTTGTGTACATCAAGTCCTACACACAGCCATGAAGTGAATGGTCAGTTTTATTTGGAGGATTGTTGGTCAGGACACCAGGGGAAACTCCCTTCTCTTTTCAGGATCTTTAATGTTCCCCTGGGCAGATGGATGGGGCCTCAATTTAATGTCTCACCAGAGATTGTTTTTGATGTGAACCAGACAGATTTTTGCTTGCATCTTGGATTTCTTATTAAGTAAATGTCGGCATCCGTAACCCAATAAGCAAACCCTCGCTGTTTGCAAGGCTTCGATTTGATGCAATTTATGTTCATTTTTAATCATCTAATTTTTTTTATTATTAATAGTATCCATATAGTGACTTACAGAAATTGCCAGCAAATCCCTTTGAAGAGCTTTGAGCTGTTTTGACAAAACAAGCGCGATATCAAATCCAAGGATCATTACAATCATTATTATTATTAGACAGGGGTAATCTGAGACAAACATTCACTGATTGGTAGATCAGTCAGGCCCAGGTGCCTCTTAACTCCCCATGTTCCCAGAGTTCAGACTCTCCTTTAGGAGACATCAGATGAAAGAACCCACTAATGAGACCCTCTTGACTTGCGAAGCCTCTGAAGCTGAAATGGTCACCAAGGAGAAAGGCTCACTTCCCTGCAATTCAATCAGCTTCCTCAAAACCCAGGCAGAAAAGAAGCCAGCTCTGGGGCCCCGGGAAGCTTTGAAGTGCGAGGGGATGGAGCGGATCAGGACGGTGGGGGGATACATTTGCTTCCGATGCCAATAAAACAGGTCTGCAGCAGAGTCTGACTGAACTCCACTGTGGACAGGACAGGCACAGCATTGTACTGCACTCAGGCCTGGAAAAGAACACACACTCAACCACTCAGTAAGTGTAGACTTACTTGTGAAGGACAGTTGTTGAGTAAGGCACTGCCATTTGTCAGTAAAACTACTCTTAGTCCATATAATCAAGATCCTTGTCCCCACCTTTAAAGCCTTCCACATTCTTGCTACTCCCTACCTATATGACCTATTAAAACTTCACCATCCTGTCCACTCCTTCTGCTCTGCAGGCACTGCCTTCTCCACATCTCGTGCCCTGCCTGCTCCATTATTTGGCAGTTGGGTCTTTAGACTCTCTGCCCCCACCCTCTGGAACTCCATCCTAGAGCCTCTCAGTCTTGCCCCCTCCCTAGCCTACTTTAAAGCCCATCTCAAGACCTTCCTTTTTGACTTTGTCAACGGTCATCTTCCCTCCTCCACCCACCCTTGCCCTCCACCCTCTCTGACTTGTGCAGGGACAGACCTGAAATATCTGTGCTGTTGTTTTTCACCGAGTCCAATCCCACTCTCCTGCTCGCTCCCCATTCCCTCTTTTCTAATCAACTATTTAATTCCCTTTCAGAAAAATTCATGGTTTTCTTCTAGGAAGCGACACAGAATAGCGATCAGGACAGCACTGACCTCCAATGGTCAGCATATATATAGGGAAATAACGTAAGTAAATTATAGAGTAATAGCAGACTTCACTTATGTTTTAGGGAATAGTATAAAACGACCCAGATATTTATAATCCTTGTATTTGATACAGCACCTTTCACACCTCAAAGAGCTTCACAGGATTTCTTGTCAAGTCTAGTGACTGTGAATCTTGTCACCAAATGCTCCGACATTTATATTGCTGGGACAAATGTGCACAAATGTAAAGAAAGTTTTAATTTATTTTATTGTTTAAATAAAGTGCACCGAAATATACAGCTGATTGCCAGGTTATGCATATGAACAAATCTACCCAGACAGCTAGTCTCAACTAGATTACTTTTTTTTCAGTTAAAGAGTTTAATTGTTGCCTGGTCTAAGTGTGATCTTACAAATTATTTCCAAAAAAAAACTTGTGAACAAAAAACAATCGAGCGAGGCAAAGGCTTCAGTATCTACGTTAAAACTTAAAAACAAAGGAAAATCTAATTTGAACAGAAAAATACAATATTCCAACACATCTGTAACAGCGATCGAAAAAAATAATCTGTACAAAACAGGTCCAATGCAGGGACTCGTGTAGAAATCTGCATTTTTTTTAAATTTAAAACTACTTTTTTTTAAGTTTAAAAAGAATTCTGCCAATGGGATGAGGTTTGGAGTGTGGGCCAAACCTTTCAGGCTCTCTCAGATTAAACAGTGTGGCACAGGTACCTGCTTAACAAGTTTATTTGATACTAGTTGTCAGTGTGACTTCTGAATGCAGTTTTCACTGTGAACTGTCCGTTGGTGAAGTTGAGGGTGTGCAAAGAGGTTGAATGGATGGGGGTAACGACACACACACACACACACGAACCACCTTTTCCTCATTAATTGAAAATAAAATAAAAATGAAGATTTCTACGGGGAGATCGGGGACCAGTGAAGTAGTGTGGGTCTGGTCGCAGACGACAGACCTTGATAAACCTCGGTGGCTGAAGTATCTTTTTAAACCAATCATTAATTATAATAATAATAAAAATCCTTGCATTTGATATAGCACCTAATCACATCATTGAGAAGTCTCAAAGCGCTTCATAGAACATATTGTAAAATGGATTGACTGTGTATTTTGTGGGCAAAATGTGGCAGCCAATTGCACACAGCAGTGTCCCACAAACGGTCATGGATTGAGTGACTAATTTTTTTGTTTGGGAGGGATTATTCCCGGAAAGCAATCTGCCAAAGGGCTAACAACCAGGTTCCTATTTACTGTGAGGTAAACAGAAGCACGTGGAGTAAGGAAGCTTGCCTAAGGTTTCACCCTGCTCGCGAATCGAACTCCGGTCCTCTCGCTTGCGAAAGTGAGTGCTCTAACCACTATCCTACAGGAGTCCAAATCCACTTTACAAAACGTTCTGTGAAGCGTTTCCAGATGTATTGTGAAGTGATAAGGCTTTGAATTATTCCCCACTCGGTGTCTTACTGGCCATGTTTAGGACCACTGACAGGAACACTCTGTCGGTTCCTGGATGGTGTAATTGACCCAGGTGGAGTTGCCGCTGCAGTAAAGCTGTACTGTGCGCTTCTGCAGCCCAATTTCCCGGCAGCACTTGCAGAACCTGGCGTGCGTGTTAATGCTGTAGTTGTAAATACTGGCGGAGGGGCACTTCCCATCACAGGAGACTATGTTCACCTGTAGTAAAAGGGAAAAAGTTGTTTGATGGTTAAATAGATAAATAGTAATAATAATCCTTACTTATTACATTTTGCCCACAAAATACACAGTTGATCCACTTTTAATAAGACAATAATAATCCTTGCATTTGGTATAGAGCCTTATCGCATCATTGAGATATCTCAAAAGTGCTTCACAGAATATATTGTCAAGTAAATTGACTATATATTTTATGTTGAGGGTGAAATGTGGCAACCAATTGCACAGAGCAATGTCCCACAAACAGTGGTGGATTGAGTGACTGATTTTTTTTTGAGGGATTATTACCCCCGGAAAGCAATCCGCCTATCAACTAACAACTGAGTTTCTACGTACTGCTGGGTAAACAGAAGCATGTGGAGTAAGGAAACTTGCCTAAGGTTTACCCATCCCAGGAATCGAACCCGGGATCTCTCATTTGCAAGGCGAGTGCTCTGACTACTTTGCTATGGGACTCTATTTTATAGTATATCCTCTGAATCACTTTTAAGACGAGAACATTTTTTGGTGTTGGGCCGACCGACCTTGTGTAATGGCTTGGGACATCCACCCGACATGAAAGGCGCTATACAAATGTAATCTTGTTGTTGTTGCTGTTGTTGTAACGACTGCTGCAGATTGTGCTGGTCTGTTTGATTTTAAAAACGGAAGCGGAGTGTGATGTAGGTGAGGAACGCAGTGCCTTTTAGCAGTGGCAGAAGCAATTGGGCTTCCCTTTCCTGGTTACTCACAGGTCTGTTACTCCTGCAGTCATTCTTCCGTATCGTCATCCGAACAACCACCTTCTGGCAAGATTTCACGTCTTCTTTACCTGTGAAGCACACTTTAGTTCCCATGCCTTAACCCCTGAGAATACAGCCCTATGTATTTACAGTAAGGTGCTCTTTATGCCTGGCTCATTCTCACGTGTGTAAGTTTTACCTACATGACAACATTCTGTATTCAATACAAGTTCATCACTTATTTATTTCCAGATCAGCGTCTTCTTCAACTGAGACATTGATTTAGGTGTTGCCCGCGTTGTGACCCCCACCTCCCACCCTGCATTATAAACACAATGGTTTTGCCTCATTTTATTAGCTTGTATTTCCTCCTTAATGTAAGTTCAGTCCAAATTCAAATAAATTGTTCACTCTTCTTACTGCTTGTAAAACGTTGCTGGAAGCAAACTACCCACCATGTTTGCTTCTGTAACAACTTTTACTTTGTTTCTCTGTGCACATTAATCTCTTTGTTGGTGCTCACCCCCCCACTGAAACACTCTACTCTAATCCCATTCTCCTGCACTCTCCCCATCGAGTCTGTGTTGGTGCTTGCTCCCCCACTGGGGCTCTCTTCTCAAACGCCATTCTGCTGCTCTCTTCCCTCCCTACTGGAGATCTTCCCTCCAAACCCAGATTCCCTTTAATATTACATTCCTTCAAATATCTATCCAATTCCCATTTAAATGCTGTTACGGACTTGGCCGGACTGTGTTCTCACATCCCAACAACCACTGTTCTTAGAACAAGGAGATCTTCAAGCAGTGATTTTTATTCCTGCTTTTTGATTGTATTTCACATTAAAGCTGGCGGGACCTCACTTCAGCACGCTACTGATTTGTACTGGGTTCAGATCAGTGCTTTTATTTAAACATGTACTCACAGCTTTTACAGCAGCCATGCAAGTAGGTTATGACTGAGCCTCCAATCTGAGGAAGAAAGATTTTGGTTTGTGTTGGTCATTAACAGAAATAGCAATAATAAATCTTTTGGTAGAGCAAGTTTCACAGCAGGAGGACATCTCGAAGCACTTCACTGTTGTGTATTTTGTAGAGGAACACAGCAGCCAATCTGTGCACAGCAATGTCCCACAAACAAAACGTGACAATGTGTTTTATAACATGATGCTATGTGTAAAAATATGATGTCTTGTGTCTGTGTTTGTGTGTGTTGGAATGTATTATCAATGACTGGAACAGGTAATCTGGAAGGGTGGTTGAGGCTTGGACACTGGAATCGTTGGAAAATATAGTTTGATGCTGTGATGGGGTTGCAGTGGGGTGGATGTTTTGGAGGGATGAGATTGGATGGGCTGAAGAGCCTCCTTCATCCAGACCAATCTTGTGTTGGTGTGCTTGTGCTGTGACTGACATGATGTGACACACTGACCTTCAGACACTCTGTCTCGTTGAAAGGAGGGCAGCTGAGAGGCGAGATGATCAAGGTGGGACCAGAAGCCATCTCGGTGCAGTTGTGCATGACACAATTAAACATCCACGATGCTCCGGGCTTGAGGAGGGCACAATAATAAAACGATGTCAAACAATAATTAGACATGGTTTGTTCCTGAGAGCAGTCATGCTTTCTTGGTAGTTGCAGGACTGTTCACTATGAACAACTTCCTGTGTCTTAGTGCTGGCATTTTACTAAACAAAAGAAATATGGCATCTCACTAATAAGCACAGGACCCTTTTATGTCAGGGGAACATCTCAAAACGTTTCCCAGGATTTACGGTAAAGTACTGTGTATTTTGTAGGCGAATGTGGCAGGCAATTTGCACACAATAATATCCCACAAAACTGCCATGAAGTAAATGATAAATTTATTTGTGGGGATTGTTGGCCGGACACCGGGAGAAACTCCCTTCTCTTTTTGAGTAGCGCCATGCATTCTTTAATGTCTTCCTGAGCAGGCAGATAGGACCTTGGTTTATTGTCTCCCAACTGAGACACACTACATTTTTTTTCAAAATCCCTCATTGAGGCTTGCTCCCCCCCTCACCTCGAACATGGCTGTGGTCCCATTTTCCATATTAAACAGGCAAGAAATGTTCTTACAGATTCCACAACACCTTGTCAGGTCCGTCGGGGGAATGTAAACCTGGTTCTGTTGATGGTAAAGGGAATGAAAGGACGAGGTTAACTGGATGTCATCTTGTGTGTAATATGCTGCTGCTCGTGCAGACAGATCAAAGCTAATCACTGGAACAAATGTGTGTTATTGTTACAACTGGCATTTGATTTAACTGCTTAAAAAAAAGGAGATAGATGAAGAATCCTGGAAATTCCCAACAAAGAGTGACACCAAAATGTGTCACTCCAACCTCCCAGTGGTGGATGGGAGAAGGTGGAAATCAAAGTTCAAGAAAAATATTGGAGTAAGTAGAAATTAGTTTAGAAATAAAATCACTGACGATAGGAAGAAAATCTGACCCTTGTCAATTATCGCCAAGTAGTGTTTAAAATGAAATTGTTCGTTTGCCTTAAAGGCAAATCGTGAGGGTTCTCAGCTGCCACTTAGACACGTGTGTTATTACCGTGTTACAATGTGACGAGCAGTTGACTGCAGTGACTATGAGCTGATAGAAGCCGGTCACGTTGTCATGATGATGTGTGCATTGCGTGGTGTGGCACACACTGTCCGCCATGTGCTCCACAATGGTCTGTCCGGGACGCAGCACGCCTCTCCCTCCGTCCACGCACACGTGGTCATTCACTGCGACAGACAAGACAATAAGAACATATAAAACCAAGCTCCATCTCATCCACCTTCCTCCTTCCTGGCGGTCGCATGCACATACGTCCCGATCTACCTATGTATTATATCCCATCATGTTATCTCCTAACCGAAAACTATCTAATCTGTGTTTGAAGGAATCAAGGTTTCATAAGTACCGTAATATGTATTAACACCCAATTTCCTGCTTAGAATTGAACCCCTCCAGTCTATGTTACATCCCATTTAAAAGTACTCGCTGTTGTGCGGTGTGGTGGTACCTTGTCGTAAACTTCTTAATTGTGGGTCAACTTCAAAATCCTCATGCTCACCTACTTATCCTTTCATGCCTTTACACCTCCCTAACTCCATGACCCCCTACTGCTCGCTGAGACTCCAGCCTCCCCCTACTGCTCGCTGCTCCACTCAGCAAACTCAGGCATGCTGCACTTCCCCGCCAGCCTCCCCACCCCCCCACCCCGCTATTACCAGTTAGGTTTTCAGTCACTATTCTCCCACCTTCTGGAACTCCCTCCATCTACCATTCCATCTTGCCTAATCTCTTTCTGTCTTCAAGTCCCACCTCATATCCTACCTCTTCGAACCTACCTCACCTGTGGCCCCTTCCCACCTTTCGCTTATTTGCCATCTCACCCCCTCCTTGCAAAGTGCTCCGCGATGTTACCCCATGTGAAAGACATGGGTAATGACATGGTGGTGGTGTTGTCTGTTCAGTGCAGATCAGAGCAGTAGATTGGCACCTACCACACTTGTACTTCGGGCAAACACACTGATCCACTGTGGTCTCTCTGTGCTGCTCGTCCATCTGCAAGACCTCACCCTACAAACATCAGACAGACTGTTACAACTCTGCACATAAGAGAGGCACGTTCAATAAACCAAGGCTCAGGATGCCTCACTTACCACTTGGCACTGAGGTTTCAGAAGCGTATCGCACGCACATTCTGAAAGAAAGGAAAGTGCACAAGTCACTGATGAGCTTGCAGCATGTCCTAGAGACTGCCAATCTGTTACAATGATAAACGCGACATTGCCATACCACAGGAACGTAGTGGACAGCACTGGTCGGGTCTCCAAGACTGGACCATCTTCGTTCCATGGGGGCATTTGAACTCCGGGCAACGATAGGTCTCGCAAACTGGAGAAAAGAGATTATGAGAGATGATGTGATTTGACGTACGGCATGTGGTTTGTGAAGCACACTGTTGAGGTCTCTCTTGGGAACGCGATTGATGAGCTGCGTTTTCAATGGTTAATGGATTAATCTTACCACAGTGATAGGACGGGCAGCACTTCTCAGTGGTGGTGTCGTTCACGGTGAGGATTTCACCCTCCTGGCAGCTGGGAATCTCATCCGAGCAGGAACCACACACTAGGTCAGAGGGGATAGACAGCACCTATTAGATCTACAGTCATTGCTACACTATTATCCATTTCAGGAGTCAAGTTTCCTAACTTCACATGTCTCTGTTTACCCAGTAGTAAGTAGGGAATCCGGTTGTTGGTCGATTGGCGGATTGTTTTCTGGGGATAATGGTTTCTGCCAGTGCGGTTAGCAAGTGGTCTAGTCTTCTCGGATATTCCTTGACACTAGGTTACACTGCTCGCTATCTACTAATGTGGTTGCTGTGCAGGCAGCAGCTTCTACACTATAAACAAATTCACACACGTACCGTGGTGTACATATTGTGTGAACAGCCATCCTTACATTCAAAGGGCAACCATTATTATCCATTTTAGGTTCACAAGAGGCTCAGATGAAGAAGGCCCTTTGTCCCAATTGATCCCACCCTACTGTCTTCCCTTGTATACTCTCAATGAGTCCTATCTTCTGACTATATCACCCATGCTGGTAATAGAATATAATACAATTGATATTTATATAGTGCCTTTCACACCATGGACGTCTCAATGAGCTTCAAGTAATTATCAATTGCTGGCACTATTTGCCTCCACTGCCTTTCCTTATTGATGTCTGTTCCAAAACAAGATGGGAGGATGGTAGGCTGGTTGTTCTGGAAGGATGAGAAGAAATGGTCTGAAGGACCTTTTTTTACTTCATCCAAACTGTTCTTGTGATCTTGTGAATGCAAGTGCGAATCAAAACAAAAGAAGCTATCAGAGGTTGCTAGTTCAGTTATTTATAAGTTATTTATAATCACACATGTGACTTACTGCAAATATATGCCAGGCAGCAGCTTCCATCGGTGCGGGTCGCAATCAAAGTTTGGTCCTCTTGACAAACTGGGATATCTGACTCACACTTGTCTGGATCACACTCTGCAGAGAGTACGCAGTTTGTCAGATCAGGGAATAATAATAATCTTGGTTTGATAACAATAGTAATCCTTGTATTTTATATTTGATCCAATGATGTCAAAATATCTCGGAACGCTTCACACAAATAAAATTGGTCACTCACTTTACGCCGTTTGTGGGACATTGCTGCGTGCAAATTGACCGCCACGATCATTGGGAAAATACATAGTGACTACACTTTACAGTGAAATCCTGTGAAGCATTTTGAGATGTTGTGATGATGTGATAATGTGTCAATGGGAGGATCACTGAACTATCGTAATTTTGACCCCGTTGTTCGTGCACGGTGGGGCTGAGATCAAGTCCTCGTGTTGACATTGTGAGTAAACTTACCGCAAAAGTAATCGGGGCAGCAGGAATTTGACTTGTAGAGAGAGACGAGCCTCTCTCCATCTCCACACTGGGGAGCAAAACGCTCACACACTGTCTGATTGCAAACTGAAGGCAGGAGAGAACGATGGTCACATTAGTGTAAGACTGAGAGATACATCGGCAGCAAACCCATGACAGCCGCACTTCACTGGCTAGCTTTAGTATTCTTTTTTATCTTAAAGTGGAAGGAGTGTGAAATACATCACTCCCTGACTTCGTCCCTCCTTCATTCCCTCCCTCTCTTCTATCCTTTACTCTATCCCTCTAACCCTTACTCTCACTTTCATTCCCTCCCTACCCCACTCTCTCCCTCCCTCTCTCCCGCCCTCATTCCCTCCCTCGCGCCCTTATTTCCTCCCTCCCTCCTTCTCTCCCTCACAGAGGAACAACTCAGATCACTGGTGACGTTGCTGGCTGATCTCTGTGGGGCTCCAGCATTGCTCAGTGCAGAGCTGCCCCACTGCTGTCTGAGCTGTGGATGGACCTTGCAGTCAGTTCCTTTTGCCTGCTCCTTCAGGCCACCCTCGGTGCTGCCCTCAGACACTGCAGACTTTGGGAAAAGTGCAGCAACAGCTGTGATCTGCACTTTCCCTGCAATCGTCCGCCAACACTCACGCATGAATAATGGCCAGTGGGGGAGGCTGCCCCAGTACACCTGAGGAAGGAGGGGGAGCTTTTCAGCAGACTTACCGCAGATTTTCTGTGGGCAGCAGCTTCTATCACTGGCCAGGTTGACCATCACCTCCCCTAAGCGGTGGCAGGCCAAGACGGGGACAGACGAGCAGTTCAGGTCCACCGTGTTGATGGTCCCATTCTCCAGACACCGGTAGGTGCAGCAGCCGTCCAGCGACGCGCTCCACGTCTCGCCGGCGGCTCGAGGAAGCCCCCAGCTATCAGTGCAGGCTGCAAATACACCGCGGGGCAGATAGATTAGCACTGTCAACCGTGGGCTTTCACCCCAAGACAGAGGGGATTTCACCCCAAGATAGAGGGGATTTCACCCGATTAGCCTTTTCGAACAATGTCACGAGGACACGCTCTCTGACCTCTGACTCCCGACCTTGCCAGGTCTCCAATGAAGCATCACAAATGTACAATATAATAAACAGCATGATAATAACAATAATAATAAAAACATTTGCCGCAGCCTGTGGGCCAGGACTGTCCCTACCGCACTTCTCCTCGGGCACGCAAAGGGTGGAGTCAGGCCGGTGGAGAATGGTGCCCTGGGGGCAGACACAGCCCTCACTCAGGATGGAGCAGGTCGAATCCTCCGAGGGGAAGAAGATCCTGTTCTGGCAGGTCTTGGCCTCACAGGTTGGCACGCATGCCTGGTACATCAGGTGGGCCGGGCACAGGAAGGCTGCAAAAGCAACAGAAAAGATTCAATCCATACACGTTTCTCACAGACAAAATCCATCAGTGACTGTGCTGGACTCTGTATAAACTACCCCAATTCCCTGCTCTTTCCCCATACTCTTTTAAGTACCTGTTAAATTCCTGTGAGACCATTTTGTCTTAAAACTTAAGAGCCATGTTAAATTTTCTGACCAAATAAATGACTAATTTTAATTGGGGGATTGCTGGCCAGCTTCTCTTTTTGAACAGTGCCACAGGATCTTTAAACTCCATCTGAACAGGCAGATTAATATCTAATTTGAAGGACAGCACTTCAGACAATAATCCTTGGTTTGATCAGCACGCCTTTCACATCAGGATGTCTCAAAGTGTTTCCTAGGATATACTGTAAAGTGTTGTGACTGTTTATATGTGGGCATTTTGTACAGTGCCCTTCACTTAGCCTAATGTCTCGAAGTGCTTCACAGTGGTGAGGTATGGACAGTGAGCTAGGAGGAAGGGGGTGTCCAGCTGTTACTTACGGCAATAATCCGATTTCCTCCACTCGATGCAAATGTTGAACTTGTTGCAGACCGCGACGTAGGCAGCGAGAGCCGAGCAGGGATTGCTCACGAAGACGGAGTCCCTCACCCAGAGTTCACAGAACATCTCGGGAGAAACCTGGTCATTGAAACGAAAGGGGAGCGTTCACCATTACATGACTTTGAGCTGTGTGAGGACTCAAATTAGCTGGTGGCAAGTTATAACAATCCTTACATTTGATACAGTACTTCATCACATCATTGAGACGTCTCAAAGCGCTTCACAGAATAGATTGTAGGTGGATTGATTGTATGTTTTGTGGGCGAAACGCAGCAGCCAATCGTGCACAGCAGAGTTCTACAAATAGTTGTGTACTTTAAAGTGCAGGATTTACTTAAGAGTGCAGTCAGTTTGCACACAGCAACGTCCCTCAAACAGTCATGAAGTGAGTGACCGGTTATGTCTGGTGGGGGGTGGATGCTGTGCACTAATTGGCTGCCACAGAACACACAGTCACTGCACAGCCAGTCCTGTGAAGTGTCGGGAGTTTGAACGCCGTTTGGTGTTTCAGTCTCGGGGTCAGCACCTGGGAGTGGCAGACACTGAAGGTCTCGTTGCGAAGCATCCTGAAGCACTCAGAGCAGTCGCTGGTCGTGCAGTTGACCTCAAGCCGCCGACTCATTCTCATCCCGGTTCTTGTGCTGGGCACCGTCCAGTCATCCACGAAGGTCACGGGGTCGTCCGTCTCCTTCAAGACCGTCCCATTTTTCAAGGTCAGGTCATTTGTGGGATTTCCATCGCAGTAACCTGAAAAATCATGTCAATAGGTTCAGCGAAACATGACAAGCTATGGGACAAGTGGGGAAGAAAATCCACCCAAAGCTAGATCGGCCCTATTTTTGTGGCATTTCAGAGCATCCAGAATTGATAGAACAATAATAATCCTTGCATTTGATATAGAACCTTATCATGTCGTCAATGCCTCAAAGCACTTTGAAGGACTCACTGGGTGACCACAGCAGCCAATATGCATTCAGCAATGTCCCCCAGCATTGTATTGAATCGCTCTTTCAAAGAGGCAGCTTGGACATGATGGGCCAAAGGGCCTTCTTCTGCGTTGTATATTTTTAAGGATGTAATGGATTTCCGTCCCAAACAAAGTGATGGTTGGTACATACCACACAGCCCCACGGTGGTGAGCTTTTTGTTAGGAGTGCCAGTTTCGATGACCATAATTCCTGTGCTGTGAAACCACTGGATGCTCACGCCAGCTGGGGTGAGGATGGTATACATACTCCCGGTGTCTACGATTTCAAAATCAAACCTCCGGAAGGGAGTGTAGCCGTAGCGCGAATTAACGATCAGCTGCAGAGAAACAGACAGAGGCCACCTTCACACACTGTTCATCATTAAGAAAAAAAACACTGAAGTTTTGCTCATAAACTTTAATGGATACTTTGGAAATTGCACATCGAGCACTGGACTGGAGTGTCAGCCTAGACTTTATTTCCTTATCCACAAGGTAATTCAGGTCTGGAAGGGTGGTTGAGAGCACCTTTGGGACAATGTCCCAAGTGTCTTCACAGAATATATTGTAAAGTGGATTGAATGTGTATTTTGTGGGTGAAACGTGGCTGTGGAATGAGTGACCACATTGTTTTTTGAGGGATTACCCTTAAAAGCAATCCGCCAATTGACTAACAATTGGGCTCCTATTTATTGCTAGGTAATCAGAGGCATGTGAAGTAAGGAAATCAAACCTGGGTCCTCTTGCTTGCAAAGCAAGCATGCTAACCACTAACTACAGGACTCCTTGATAACACACCTTAGTCAATAGCTACAGCAGAACATCGCTTACTCAAGTGATCACCAGTGCTAGGCTCCTTTCTGTGAACTTCAAATCTCCTCAAAACAGGCTGAGGTGGTTAGAAGATTGATTTTAATAATATAGGTGGTTATAAAGTAGAAACCCTTACCCTTCTCAGCTCCCGGTCGACAATGACATGGTTTGATCGATGAGTTATATTGAGCTTCGTTAGACACAGAGAGGTGGAGTTCATTAAGGACTGGTTTGCCGTGATCTGGTTAGGGAAAGAAATTGTTTTCCAATGAATACTGCGATTTCTGATTTTGCATCATATCATACCAGCAAACCACTTTTTTCTGAACACTTTGTACTCACAATGAGATAAAATGGTTGGATGCATTGCATGGAATAAGCGTAAATTTTAAACACTGTTGATTTAAGGCAGGTAAGTAGACAGCGCAATAATAATAATGATCAGAATAATACATGTGATACAGTGACTTCCTCATCAGGAGGAGCTCTCAAAGTGCTTCACAGATCTACTGTAAAGTGCAGTGATTGTGTATTTTATAGGCAAACATGGCAACCAATTTGCGCACTGGAAATGTCCCACAAACATCTGTGAATGACCAATTTTATCAGGGGGATTGTTGGCCAGGAGACTGGGAGAAACTCACATCTCTTTTTGAATAGTGCAATGGGTCTACCCATAACATCCACCTGAACAGGCAAACAGAACCTGAATTTAAAGTCATATCTGAAGGACAGCACCTACAGCTGCACACTTCATTGAGTTTCGGTCTAGGCTGTAAATTCAAAGTCCGTACACGGTTTGAACCCGCAACCTTTTGACTTGAAGGCGAGAGTTCTACCATCTGAGTCAGACTGACACCCATAACCTCTTTTATCCTGTGAAAAACTAGCAGGGGAAGATTTTGAGTGTAACTATAGTAATGCACTGTTTATAGGTCGGAGCACGCTCCAATATTGCTGAGGAATTACAAAAATGTATTGTATATCCTGTCAAATAAAAGGAAGGACGAAGTATTCACATAGAACTTAGACAAAACCTGATCTTTTTTCAATAAACCAGTGACTGTGTGAACGTGGATAACTTAATTAAAGGCTCCACATTTTTCCCTCGACAGGGTATCAAACTTCCCGTCTTTTTGCACAAATATTGGTAATGGATTCACAGGAATCAATGGGAGCCCCCCCTTCACACTGCTTTGTTACATTATACTAGACATCAGAGTCATTTAATAACACTCAATTAAGCCCTAATTTGCGCAGCGCACCAGATGTTCCTTCTAAGCAAACACGTCAGCGCTGAAACCAGGCTTGAACTGGTTTGGGTCTTGTTTAGATCAACCATTGGACGTGACCGTAACCCCTGGTATGAGGTCCCCTGGAAATTAGTCCCGCTGGAAATCAGGTCCCTGGCAATCTCCTCTCTAACAATCTCGTCCCTAGCAAGCTCACTCTTGTTAACATCCAAGAGGCAACTTCCTGCTGCTTGTCAAGCTAGGACCACCCTATCTGTTGGGCCTTTGGTTTGCAGGATTAACAACTTTATCTAATGTTGAATTATTTAATGTTGGATACTTTGTTACAAACAGTGCGATGACAGTTAATTTGCAGAGCAATGACAAAGCATTCGATAATTCCATATTCTTTTCAGGATTTGCTGCTACAGTTGTTGATCTTGTTATTCCAATTCTCAGTCTTTCTCGCTGAAGGTTTTAATATAGACAAGTTCACAAGTAAGTGGGTTCTGAAAATCTTGCTATTCAAATGCTTGCAAGAACTGTCCACGCACATTGATAAATTGACTGCTTTCATCAACATTAATCAAACTGTATTTCCTTGGGGGTTCTACAAAAGACTAGGAGCAGGGATTCTTTCCACTCAGCTCCAGTTAATCCTCCAAGCCAAAACCTTAATAGGCCCTAACTGGACAAGGCAGCGGGAAGCTTGCCAGATAGTGATTACAATGACAACCCATGTGGTTTTAAGTGGTTAAAATTCAGTAGTTATCGCAATGCGCACTCTGGGGTCTTCAAGCCTTGGCTTTTGCCAACCTGCTCTCTGGAATTAGGTAAGAATTTTGTTCCAGACAGGGAAATTTCCATGTGTAGGTGGCATACATATGTGTAGAACTCTCACTCTGGTTTGACGACTGTTAAGCCCGGTAACTGTTCAGATCCTTTATTTTACCTTTATTGTTTTGGGATTTTTAGCGACTTACTTGACTACAAAATGGCCGACTCATTACAGTAATAAAGCTATCTAGATGTTGAGTTCCTTTATTACTGTAATAGTGCTTTTGTCAGGTGCTGAACAGAGTAGTGTCTCTATAGACCTGTGCACAATGAAGCAATGCAGTTTCATGCATGCCATTCATTGGGCACGTGTGCAGTTGGCCCGAAGGAAACACTTCCAAGTTAGCCCCAATGTCACTCCCGGTGTGTTGCACAAGTGCACAGGAAGCGATGCCAGCAAAGATTGTTCCCACACAAACAAAATGGCTGACTTCCAGTTCAGCAAGCCACCACAGAGATCACGTCCTGCTTTGCGCATGGAGCGTCACATCCTGGCTGCATACAGTTTGATAACTACTGGCTGCCCTTATCAAGGTTTGCCTCAGCGCATACTGGCATTTTACGTTCCCGCTGACGGTCAGCACTCACCAGTTGCTGGGAGAAACAATTGCTGGTTTCGACGGTAACGGTTTCGTTCATCAAAGAGACAACAACATACGAAGCTGCTCCAGAGATACCAAAGTAGCTTCCGTCAAATGTGATCACGTGCAGGTTGGCAAAAATGGAACAGCGGCCTGCAGAAAAGAGGAGATCGGCGGGCATTAAAAGCTTGTAAATTGATGGAATGCCCTTTCATCTAGGATCAATGTCTCAAAACACATCCCAACAACTGGGATCACCAAGGTGGAGAGAGGGATATTGAGAGAGTTGTAACTATGAGTTGTAACCAAATTCACAGGCAAAGAGAGAATTCCTTACGAGGGTTTTTGAAAACCGGAGAATTATAATGTACATACATTTGAAATAGTGCCTTTTATGTCAAGAGGGAGTCTCAATGTCAACACAGTCAACTGGGCCTTAGAGCTGGTTCATGGTTGGTGTAGGGAAAGTAAATGAAAATACAGTCGAAAAAAGAAAGCATGGGTTTTGCTGTTTTCAAGCTGGGTATAATTTAGCTAACAGTCTTTGAAACAGCTCACAGAAAACTGACTTCAAAATGAATTTGCCAAATTCTGGACGCTACATAAATTGACTCAATCCAGACCTTTGTGGAATTTCCACCCTCGAGTACTCATAATAATAATACGCCTCATATTTAGCTCCCCGGCAACACTATGATACTGACAGCAAGCTGCCTTCCAACGTAGTTCTCAAAGTGTCAAGGGCTTTGATTTTGTGTTTCAGTAATTGCTGAAAGCTTTGAATCTCTCTGCGACCGACACGTTTCAATTAAGGCTGAAATGAGGCCCGGAACGCTAATGCCAACAGCTGGTTTAATAAACCGTGATCTTTCTCGCTATCTTTCATCGTGTCTGCCCAATTAGTTTGCAATTAAAAGTGTTTGTGGAAAGATGCCATGAATGGTATGTTCTGGCAATAATGACAATCCAGCCCTCTTGTGCACCTTCACTATGTGCTTGTTCTCTCAATAAACAATAAGGCAGAGAAATATCATTAGCGGGTCTCCTGAGTTAGTATTTTTTTTAAAAAAAGGAGGTATCATCAATGCCTAAAACACAACATCCAGTGTTGAACTAAGTAAATAATCGTTGAATTTCATACAGTACATCAGCAGCAACCTGACAAGCTGGAAGTTGTCCATTTTATAGCATGGGGAGCCAGCTAGCCATAGCCAGAACCCAGGTGTACTGCATTTCCAATGAGCACAGGCATGAGACACCAGGTGTACAAGCGAAACCGCGCTATGCTGAGGGGTAATAAACAGTGGCGCCTTGTAATTCTAATAATACGTGAAACTCTTAAGATTTAAAGAAGTGGAACAAAGCCAGGCAATTCTTACATGGGCAATCCCACTGTGGACAGCATTTATCACCGTTCACCTGCACAGCAAATCCCAGGAAGCCACAGCTTGGTGGAGTCACATTGTACTGGCAGTTCTGTGACCTGTTCACTTGGATTAAGTGCCCGTCTACACAAATGTGCTGAATGCAGTCGTCCTGTTGCTGGAGAAAGGGTGTCTGCAGCAAACATTTCAGACAAGGGGTTAATTCACAGCATTAACATCCTGAATTTATCTACTGAAATGTCAACCCTCAATACTCAACCTCACAGAACACTGAATTAACTAAAGACCAAAGGCAACAAGTTACGACCTTGGTTAAGGCATTAGGTAGAATAATACAGAATAATGCTTGCATTTGATACAGTGGCCTTAATATCAAAACAGCTCGTAGCGTTTCACAGGGAATTACTCTCAGTTGTAGTGACTGAATTTGTAGCCAAATGCATCAGCCAATTTGCGCACAACAAGGTTCCACAAATAGCCTTCAGCTCCCCTCTCGACTCTCTTCCCCCTCCTCGCTCCCTCCCTTCCCTCCCCTCACCCTGACCATTTCCCCCCTCCTTGCTCCCTCCCTTCCCTCACCCTGACCATTTCCCCCCTGCTCGGGTCATGACCCAACTGTGCAGCGCCTTGGGACGTCCTCCTGACGTGAAAGGCGCTTTATAAATGGAATCTTGTTGTTGTTGTTGTTGTAGCCATGAAGTGACTGACTATTTTATCTATGGGATTATCAGTCAGGTACCAGGAAAAATTCCCTTCCTTTTTTTCAAATAGTGTCACAGGATCTTTAATACTGACCTGAATAGCAACAGAGTGGTGAGAACATGGAACTTGCTGCTATAAACTGTGGTTGAAGCAAAGGGCATCGATGTATTTAAGAGAAAGCTTGATGCATACATGAGCGAGAAAGGAATAGAGGGGTATAGGCGGGGGATTAGGAGAAGGGGTTGTGGCTCATATGGAGTATAAACACACTGACTAGTTGGGCAGAATGTCCTGTTTCTGGGCTATATCATTCTATGTGACTATGTCACAGGCAGAAACAATGTGACAAAAAGGATTAAACTTATTCATATTTACACAATGGTGCGTTGCAAGTGAATTTGCGAGGGACAAGTTATTTGTTGACCATCATTCACTGCCATGTCACTTACCGTGCATGGACTGGTCGGAGGGACAGTCAAAGCTGTCATGTGAGTCGTTGAGTGTGTTGTTGTGCCTGCAACAGGTTTAGACGTACTCAAATAGGCTGCAGGACTAGTTTCACTTGGACGGGTGGCTCTGGAAGCTGTGAATGCGGTGGGCGAAGGGGTTAGGACAGTGCTAGGAGCAATGATCGTCACTGTGGTGGCATTAGGCAGAGGCAAAGCGTGAGGTGTGGAAGGAATGGCTGGTGAGGTGCTGATAGTGGACGGCTGCCACTTGGAAGCGACGGACGTGCTTGGGGTCTCTTTGTGTGACACGGTCCAATATTCGGAGGAAACAGCCCCACCATGACTCAAAGGTCGGGTGATGCTAATGAGCTGTCCAGATGTTGGGGCTGGAGTAATTGGTGTAACAGTGCTACGTGCTGCTGGCGCTGTGGTTATCTTTGCAATAGTTTTGATCGTTGTCAGGTACAATCCTGTGCTTCGGGATGTTTCGGTCACCGCTGCTGTTGAGGGTTTGGTTGCCACAGACACCCTGGCTGCAGGCTCTGTTATACCTAGCGGCTCCAATGCTGTGGCCACCCATCCTGGACGAGCGCTGGTGGTGACTGGTCTTGTGGGGGCTCCTGTGTGTAAAGTCCTCCCGGACAGAGAGGCCGTGGCAGACAGTGTGACCTTCTCCGTGATGGAGATGCTTGTGGAAGCAGTGGTGCCTGGGGTGCCCGGTGGTGATGACAATGAAACCCTGAGGGTGGCTGCACTTGTTCGACGTGGAGTGACTGTGACTCGGGACACCGTTGTTTTGGAGATGATCTCTGACGCGGGAGTGGTGTGAGGTGTTACTGCCGTTACTCCAGGCCCAGGCGCCACAGGTCCAACTGTAGCTTTTGCTTCTGAAAATGTAGTCGAGATGGTTGTCTCAGGCATCGGAGAAGAAGCATGGGATGTTTTCACAGAGCTCGGGGTTGCTGTGAGTGACCCACGTGGAGTTCCCCAGCCTGTTATGCTTGGACTCACAGCGGAAGTGCCCACGGTGGGCTTGGGTGTAGAGCTTGATTCTTTAGGTGTTGATGGTGGGGTTATCATTGTAACAAAGCTCAGTCCACTCCACACGGGTAACGCTGTGGAACCGGCGCTTGTCGATGGGATTGACACACTTCTCGTGGAGGAGCTTGTTTGTGTCCCCTTAGTAGACAATGATGTACGGTTTGAGAACGCAGGGTAAGTTTTAGTTACCCACATTGTTGTGAATGAAGCTGGATGGGTTTTTAGGGTTGTTGTTGTACTAACTCTGGTTGGAGTCGGGTATGTTGTAGCTGATGTGGTTGAGCTGGGTTTCGCTGATGTTGGGTAATCAGGGGTGGTAATCAAGACTAGTTCTGTGGAGCTTGTATATTCGACGCTTTTCTGTATTGAAGCTGTCCCTGTTGATCTTGGGTACCCTCTAGCTGGTGCAGACGTTGAGGCCGAATAGGCTGTCGATATTATTGATGGCGCTTCTGTCAAGAGGGGGTAGACGGTAGTTTTAGAAGGTGAGGGTGCTGGGGAGGACTCTTTGGTGGCTGCACTACCTTTGGCCATCGCTGTTGACATTGGATATATGCCACCTGGTGTTTGGGTCGTGATGGTGGTCCTTTCCGTCCCACCGGTGTGTGCTGTGGTTGCCGAGCTCATTTCGCTACGTTCTGCCGAGACCCTAGCAGAAGTGGTCACCGTCGCTCCCTCAGTGGTTGACCGCAGCATAGCGTGCGTAGATAAAGCCGCCCCAAGATAGGATGTTGGTGCTGAGGTTGTAAGCTTAGATGGTGGCTCTGCCTTTCCAGTGGACTGTGATGTGGTGAAAGGGTAGCTTGTCGTTTTACCTGTTGCAGATGTTGGATGACGGGAAGCCACCACTCCTGTGAGGGTAGGAACCTCTCCAGTTGATGTTGTCACTATTTCTGACAAGGCTGTGTATGCTGTAGTTTTCGAGGTGCTCGCGGATGGTTCCTTAGACGTTTGAAGTGCTGATGTTCTCGACGTCACTGGTCCACTTTCTGTTGATGGAGAGATTGCCTTGGTGGAAAGGGTCATCTTCTCTGTCAACGCTTCTGTTTCAGGAGACGTCGCTCTCCCTGGGGGAGGAACTCTTGACCCAGTTTCAGGTCTATCTGATGTTTTCCACCCAGCAATGGATGAAGACTGAGGCCGTGTTTCGAGCTTGGTTGGTGAGGTGGACTTTGTTGTGAATAGGGCAATGTGAGGCTCGGTTATAGAACGAGATGAAGCAATTTCCACTAATGTAAATGGAAAACCTGGCTAGTGGGCAGTTTGGTAGGACTTGTGCTTCCTGCTATTGTAGTGGGTTTCGGCAAGTGGGTCACTGAGGTGGTTATCACCTTGGCTGAAGAGGCGGCCGATTCCAACACTTGCTCTGTCGTCGGTCTTGTCTGTGACATTACCTTTGGAGATGTGAAGATTGTGGTGCCCGTCAGTTCCGGAGCGGAGGGAGAGGTGGTCACAGTAGAGAGAGACCTTGCACTTGTGACTGAGGGAGATTGTGTGGTTGCGGTTGAGCGAGAGGTAATGGAAGAAGGAAAAGCTCCCATTGTCTTTCCTGAGACTGAGGAAGAGCTTGTGGTCATCACGGTTGACGGTGAGAATGTGGAGATGGTGGAGTGAGAGGATACAATTGAGGCTGAGGTCGAGGTAGAGCTTTTGGTGGTCCCCGAGGTTGAAGGAGACCCCGTGGTAATGGTCACACCTGAGAATGAGGAAGAGCTTACGGCAGTGGTTGCTGAAGATGTGGGAGAAGAGATGATCTTCACCGCTGAGGATGAAGGGGAGATTATGGTTGTGGCTTTTGAGGTCGATGAAGATACAGCCATTGTGGAAGGAGAGGTTGTGGCTGTTCTGACCGAGGAGGATAAACTGGTTCCTTCAGGCACTACTGAGGTTGTTCCAGATTGTTCTGTCGGTAGCTGAGTTATCACAGGAGCTTCTACAATTATGGTGGAAACAAGAGTCTTTGAGGAGGTGGTTTCAGCGCTCAATGTTCCCTGTGAAGGTCCAGGCTGAGTGCTGAACGCAGGGGTTGTGGCAGAGGAAGTACTAGGAATCCTCGATGGTTCAACTGAAGCATTGAAGGCTGATGTCGTAGACGTCCCATGTAGTGAAGGGATGGGTGCGGAGGGTTGAACAGAGACTGCTGGCTCCACACCTGGGGAGAACCCATTATTCAGATTTAGTTTGTTTGTGATCCTTATCATTAACATGTAGGTAGAAGGTCATAGTTATAAAATATAGTAGACACAAGAGTCAAATAATAATAATCCTTGCATTTGATATAGCGCCTTATCACATCGTTGAGACGTCTCAAAGTGCTTCACAGGATATACCGTAAAGTGGATTGACTGTGTATTTTGTGGACACATTTTTTCACTCAGAGAGTTGTTGGGACATGGAACGGCCTGCCAAGCAAAGTGGTAGAGCCAGAGTTCATTGTGGGTTTCAAGAGTAGATAGGTATATGAAAGATAGAGGCTTGAAATGGTTTGGGGATAAGGCAGTGAGATTGAATGAACACCTTGCTCTGAGAGTCGGTGCAGACTCGATGGGCTGAATGGCCTCCTTCTATGATTCTATCAAGCGGCATACTTAAAACTAAGTGAAATGGAAGTTAAATATATCTTCAGTTTAATGTTTCATCTGAAGGACGATACCTGCACTGCTCCCTCCAGCACTGCACTGGAGCGTCAGCTAAGACTGTCAGCTCAAAGTCCCAACATCAGCTTTGAACCCACATACAATATACAAGGAACTTACAGTCCTCTGGATAAACACATCTTTGTGTATCTTCATCCAGCATCATGTTGTGTGGACACCGCGGTACACAGCCTTCAACACTGCAGGAGAAAAAAAAGTCATGTTACTCAGTTTCTCTAACATTTCACTTAATGTACGCGATTCAGATCAATACATACAGTAGTAGGTTCTCATCAACTGAGCTTCGGCGATCAATATTCAGATAATATCGGGGTTGGGTGGTGACGGATTCTCTCCTGTGAGTGACTTGGAAAATAGTTATGTCCCTCGTGTTGCAATCTATTTTTCCATCAGTGTAACTTTGAAATGGTTGTGGCAATGGATTGACGGAATCAAATCGTCCCCCCCACATGTGTCAGGCTCAGTAGTCCATTTCCTAAGCCAGATGGGACCAAGGCACTGCCAGCGCAGCTCATCAGTTGGACTTGGAGCAGCAGACCAGTTACTGGGGGTGAGGATTATTTCTACTCAGCTCCTATTAACCCTGCAAATGGATAGGTGATCCTAGCTATGGCAGGCTATATGGTTTTAGCTGGTTAGATTCTAGCAGTACGCAATGCACACTGTACAGTTCCCAAGCCTTGACTCTTGCCAACCTGCATCTAATACTCTCTGGAAATAAGTGAGCAGAGTTCATTCCTCCATGGAGAGAGTAGGCATCCCATTCCAGACACAATGTGTATGCAGCATATATATGTGGAACTCAGTCTGGTTTGGATACTCTTTAAGGACAGTGATGGGTTTCTGCATGTGTCAGACACTCATCTGACCAAAACACTATTTCCTGAGATGCTATTCTCCTGAAAGGCACTGTATCAGTGGTGGCCAACCAGAAAGTGTCCCCCCAAACATTCTCACGAGTCTAGGTAAGTCCGTGTTCGATCATTAGTGTGTTTTTTTTGATTGAATATTTCTTCATTTATGGCATAAATACAAGTTATTGTAGTTGTAATGTATCTCCTTCGTTGCTACTTGCCTCTTGGCTGTGCTGTTTATAAAAATCATAGAAAACTTCAGCACACATTTGCCTGTGCCTGTGTTAGCCTTCCACTGGAGCTATCCACTCTAATCCCTTTCCCCTCAAGGCCTACTCAAGGCCTTTATTTAATCTTTAGTCCATAAATGTTTATCTCATCTCCATTTGATTGATGCATCTCAAATAGCCACTGTAGCAAAGCATTCCACATTATAATACCTCAGATCCCAACCGCCCAAGCTTTACTTCCACTAAAAATATTCAGTTATATGCCCCCTCTGTGGGAAGAAAATCTATCACTATTTAACGCCTCACGCAATCTGGGGTCTGAAATTTCACCTGGTCTTACCCTTAAAACCATCTTTATTATTATTATTATTATCTTGTCTTAAAATTTAAGCTCGTGCAGAATTGGGGACGATTCTCAGTCTCCATTTGGAAGCTGTTTTTTCACTCCTTTTAATTGGATTAAGGTGAAATTTAAGAATTTTCCATTATTCTTCCTGATTATATTTTAATATTAACATGCGCATCCGTTGGACGAATTCCTCAAAGCGCTTCACAGGATGTAATGTGAAGTGTAGCAATTGGGTCATTTTTAGACGAAAGGCGTTTATAGCCTGACCTTTATAGGCCAGGTGGAATTTAAGCCTCTGAGCGTTTCCTTTAGATCATGTCTTAACCAGTGAGTACAGCCCCATTTCTTTGAAAACTTGCACCAAAACAACAAACTTGTATTTATATAACGCCCCTCATGCAGGGTAGCGTCTCAGAGCGCTTAATTGTATCTTTGCCTGAAATGACTTGTGCTTTGTCTATTCCGACTTTATTCAGCCATTTTTGATGGAAATATTCTGTGACTGTGCTTCAAGAGACAAGTGCTGGCAGATGACTAGAGGGCTTACATTACTCTCTGAGAGCCCAGAATAGCCCCCAAAAAACCACCGAGACCAGAATGAAATGCTGTGAATGTGCACAGATGCATGGGGGCATGGATCTGGCTCATGGTCACTTAAACCCCCTTAAATTCTCAGACATTGCATGAATGCATGCATACCATGCCTAAGGTTTTGTGTATCAATTTTTGAATCATGAGCTGAGAAAATTGACTTTGGATTGAGAGACTAACCTTGCAACTACTTTTTATTTGAGAGTGAGAAGAGCAAAATATGAATATTGGGGTGAATATTGTGATGTCCCATGATTATTACGAGGTAAATAAAATAAGTAATTAATCCTTGTTATTCGATACAGCATCTTTCACATTGGGAGGACTTCTCCAAGCGCTTTAGAGAATTTATTAAGTTTAGTGACTGTATTTTGCAGGTGAACACCACAGCCAATTTGCTCACAGCAATTTCCCACAAAGAGCTATGGAGTGAATGACCAATTTTATCTGGGGAATGGGGGGAGGAGGAGATTGTGCAGTTAGTGGCACTTACATAATAATTGTAATTATATATTATATAATTACATATTATATAATTGTGGAGTGGAGGGCGCTATATAAATCCAAGTTGTTGTTGTTGTTGATTGTTGTCCAGGAGAGTGGTGCTTTGTTACTGTGACTTTTGTTCCATCCCATTTCCCCAACTTACAAGAATAACTTTTTATAATGTAGAAGCCAGGATGACATTTTTCAGAACTTAAGCAAACTTTGAATTCCTGTTTTCTTGTGTCGTTATTTAAAAATTTTGGTTCCTCAGGCAGGAGGGGTTGGAGAGATGAACATGTTCCACCCCCCACCCCACCCCTCCTCTCTCTTATACGTACTTTGGTAGCGTTAGACAAGTCTTGCCTGTTGGGTCTCGGCAGGTTCGGAAACAAGGGCTGGCGCATGTCTCGTACCGCCACTCACAGGTGGAATGTGCTGGGGACAGAATATCTGCATCTGCAAAAATACACAGTTAACACTGATGAGCATTATAATCCTTGCATTTGTTATAGGACCTTTCATATCGGGAGGACGTCTCAAAGTGCTTTGCAGCATATAATAATAATCAAGTGAATTGACTGCATATTTGGTGGGCGAAAAGCAGCAGCCAATTGCGCCCAGCAGCGTCCCACAAACAGTCATGGATTGAGTGATCAAATTATTATTACTATTATATTTTGTTTTGAAGGATTACCCCCCGAAAGCGATTCGCCAATTGACTAACAACGGGTTCTTACTTATTGCGGGGCGTGCAGAGTAGGAAACTTGCCTAAGGTTTTGCCCCACCTGGGAATCGAACCCTGGTCCTCTTGTTTGCTAGGCGGGATGCTTTAACTAATACACTACAGTATTCCCAATTGACTGTAAATGGTAGTTTTTTGGGGTTTTTGCTTGTTGGTCCTAATCCCACCTCTTTAATGCACCCTGACCACCCCTTGTTCCGTGTTTATCCATTATTAAATGTGCATGGATATAGGCTATTCTTTTAGCATGTGGTAACAGAGGATTTATGCCCAGCACACAATGCCACAGCTGGAGTGTGGCGACCTGAAGCTGTGCAACGGTGGAAATGAATAGCATCTGTTCAAAAATATCTTCTAACGCTGCTCTCCATGCATCCCAGTAAAGTAAAAAGTTATCACCAAATTCATTCATCGTGGATCCTAATCTATTTTTAATACCTCTTTTGCCCTCTTCAGCACAAAATCCACACCGTTTGGGGTCTAAATTGTGATATTGGTAAAAGGAGTTCCAGTTTGGGCATTTTGCTCTTTTCGGACTTTACTGGCCTAGAATTGGCAGTTCGGAATTCTTCGCAATAATCCTTGCATCCAATATAGTGTCTTTCACATCAGGAGTACGCTTCAAAGGATATTTTGTAAATTGTAGTGGCTGTATTTTTTTAGACAAATGCAACAGTCAATTTGCACACAGCAACGTCCCACAAACATCCATGAAGTGAGTGACCAATTTTATACAGGGGCTGGGATACTGGGAGAAACGCCCTTCTCTTTTCAAACAGTGCCCCAGGAATGTATTTTGCGCTGCGTGCAAGCAATGTGTACAAAGGTAATTGCAGGAGAGACCGTATTTGTGTAATTACCTATCAATGGAAAGGGTTGGTTGTCAAATACAGAATTATAGATACATGTAATTTTCACATGATTTACACAAGGTGACAGTTGTTACACCTGGATTGCAAATCGTGTACCTATAACCACAGAATAGATTCCAGTAATTTCACAAACTTTAGGATTTGGGCCCAATGACCTTCTTCTGTGCTGTGAAGTTCTATGGGTCATAAAATACTTGGTTTGCACGTGGGTCACATGTAACCTCACACAATGCGAACCCAATAATATCACAACACATGATTGTGTTCTCATATTCAAGAATTATGCTGTACATCAGAGCTTGTTCCCATTCATTAACCTTATTTTAATTTCTCCTGGTGTCTTTGCCAACAATCACCCAGATAAAACTAGTCATTCACTTCATGGCTGTTTGTGGGATGTTGCTGTGTGCAAATTGGCTGTCATGTCCAACTGCAAAATACACAGTCACTACACTTTAAAGTAAAATCTTGTGAGGCGTTGTGTGATTTTCTTTCCTCCTGCCGTTAAAGCCATTATATATTTTGTAAGATTATTATTGTTTAGCAGGTCTGTTTTACCATCCGATAACATTACTCAATGAAATTTGTTGGGTACTTTATTAGACAGTGGTGGAGCTATTTTCTCAGGCACCTAAAAAGGGGGCCTTCCTGGATAAAAGTCATGCTACGATTTTAGCAGGATCTAAAAAGACATACGTATTGGAATGTAACAAAACCAAGTCTCGGGAATTTACCAAACCGTGTTGAATTAAGTGCTTTGTTACAGTTGAATTCATAACATATGGAAGCAGAGAAGATAAATGCTCGTTCATTCCTCATACCTCATTCTTCTGCCAAGATTACTGTGGAACCCGTGTAACATTCATTGAACTTCTGACCTTCTTTGTCCATTACGTCGCCCAGCTTGGAAATATAGCCGCTCATAGGTGCCTTATATCATCGAATGTTAAAATTATCTTGACACTATGCATGGACTGTACTCTCTACCAAGCCAGGCCCCACAAGCCCGTCAAACCACTTCCCCACCACCCCCATTCTTGCTCAGTTCCACTGGCTCCCCATTCCACCACCAACAACAACAACATGATTCCATTTATTGAGCGCCTTTCACGTCGGGAGGCCGTCCCAAGGCGCTGTACAGTTGGGTCAGGACCCGAGCAGGGGGGAAATTGTCAGGGTGAGGGGAGGGAAGGGAGGGAGCGAGGAGGGGGTAGAGAGTTGAGAGGGGAGCTGAAGGCACGGTTAAAGAGAAAGGTCTTGAGACCGGCCTTGAAGGAGGAAAGGGAGGAGGCGGCGAAGGCACTGGGGGATGGAGTTCCAGAGCCTAGGGCTGAGAGGCTGAAGGCCCGGCCACCGATGGTAGGGCGGTTGGGGCGGGGGATGTGGAGCAGACCGGAGCCAGAGGAACGGAGGGTACGGGCAGGTAGGTAGGGGGATCAAATTTGATCCAGTGGATCAAATTCAAGATCCTCGTCCTCGTGAACATTCAGTTCCTTCTGCAACCTCATCCCCCTTACCTTACTACCTTACCTATGCGAGCCTCTTATTCCCCCACCCAGCTTGGGCTCTCAGTCAGCTGTAATGCTTTGTACTGCAGTCATCGTGCCCTATTCTGGTGTCATTGCGACTTGTGTGATCTTTAGCCAGAGTTCTGCAGCAACCCTCAAGTGTACTGAGTGTACCTCTGCTCACCCCATCCGTCATTCAAACTAGTGGGGTTAAAATTCCACCTGAGTCTGGATTTAATCCATTTCCTGAACATTTCAGAATTGAACACAATTTGGGAATTCAGACTGAACTTTATGACGGTGGTTGTCTTCAGTTTTTCAAAGGAACTTACAGATAAAAGGAGCTTCAGAATTCAGGCGAACTCAAGAATTTGCCAAATTCTGGACATCCTGAAATGTGACATAAATAGAGTGAACCTGGACCTGGTGGAATTTCTACACGCTGATCACTTACTCTTCACCTTTCTAGATCCCAGCAAGTCAGGAACCATCAAACACTTCACAAGCAAATGTCCTGTCAAGCATTTCTTGGGGGTTGGGGGTAGGGTGGGGGAGTAGAAGGGAGAGGATCATGTTCTGTAGCCTCTTGTCTCACACAAGGCCCAAAATTCCACCTAGGTTTAGCCTCTAGGCTATTCCGTCTTCAAGTTCAAGTTACAGTAAACCTGGAGTTCAGCCTTTGGAAACTGGGTGTGGGACTATGTGTGTTTTGTGGGAGAACGCACTAGCCAGTTTGCACACAGCACGGTCCCACAAACAACCACGGAATGAATTTTATCTGGGAGATTATTGGCTTTGAGCTCCCTTCTCGTTTTGAATAGTACCAAGGGATCTTTAACATCCACTTGAACAGGCAGTCGGGGCCTCGGTATAACATCTCTTCCAAAGGACTCCACCTCCAACAATGAAGCACACCCCTAGCACTACGTTGGAGTGTCATCTTAGACAAGATGAGTCTCAAGTCCCAGCAATGGGCTTGAACCCACAAACTTCTGACTCAGAGGCGAGAGAGCTACCAACTGAGCCAGCCACAGTCTAGTGGCATTTCACTTCCACTTCTGTTTTGTCACAGAGGCATTTTGAAGCTCAGAGTCCAAGTTCAACAACCTGTGCAGCTCTACGTTATCGCATAACCTCCCAGCGTTTATAACAGCTGCGTCACATCCCCTTCTCAATTCCATTCAGTTCTCAATGTAACTAAGAGCCCGACATTCCAGAGCCCCTTTTGAACTCTTCCCCAGTCCTCTGCCGTTTCTTTCAAAGGTGCAATCCGAATTTCAGCTCATTTTTGTGGCAACAGCTGATGGCATCCGACAAAAGGTTGTTATTATTTCAGAAGCGTGCAGGCAGGTTAGAGTAAGATTAGGAGTTATTCCAGCAATGCCACGCGCAGTTTGCCGAGGGAATAACGAGTACAAAGCAGTGTTTCTAAAGGATGGCTTTGAACTCGGGTCCACTAATGTTTCAGAGAGCAGAAGGGAAATAATTAGGAGCAGACGATCGAGGAGATCATGCACCAGGCTGACATTTACTAGCCAATTCCACCCAGACTCCGTGTACTCGCAGGGGGTGGGGAGGTGGGCAACAAACCATGAAACATTACAACATGTACACTGCCATCTGCTGGCTGCAGATGAACATGACTTGCGTGGAACGAATGTATTCGATGCGACTGTAATAACTCCCAGTGAGAGTCGCGGCACACAATATTCATAGCACAGGAGGAGTACGTTCAAGTCTGTGCTGGTATTCACTCCCCTACTGGAGCTCTCTAATCCCATTCCCCTACTCTTTCCCCATTGTGTCTGAGCTAGTGCTCGCCTCCCCCTCACTAGATCTTCTACTTTAATCCCATTCACCTACTCATTCCCCACTGTGTCTGTGCTGATACTCACTCCCCCACTGGAGTTATTTACTCTTATCCCCATTTTATTGCTTCTCCCAACATATCTAGGCTTGTTCTCATCACCCCACTACATCTCTCTATTTCAGTTCCATTTCCCTATTCAAACTCCTTCAACATCATTTTTTACCTTAGGTATTTATCCAATATTCTTTAAAATCATGTTACAAACTCAGCCTCAACAGCCATTATAGGTCTTAAAAATATGCAGTAATGATAAGAATGGGTGGAACAGTGAGTACACATTTGAGCAAGCTTTGTTAAGAACTTCTGTAACAACCCCTGTTTGAACATGCGACTTCCACTTTCCACCACAACAACAACAACAAGATTCCATTTATAAAGCGCCTTTCACATCAGGAGGACGTCCCAAGGCGCTGCACAGTTGGGTCAGGACCCGAGCAGGGGGAATGGTCAGGGTGAGGGGAGGGAAGGGAGGGGAGAGCGAAGAGCAAGTCTATATTGAAATACAGACTTCAAGGCAAGACAAATGCTATTGAAAGTGACAGCTTTGTGTGTGTGTATGCTCATAACATCTTCTCAGAATTACTTTTTCAGTCTTCATCTTTCTACATCATGATAATCCTTGCTTTTGATATCACACCTTTCACATCAGGTGGACATCTCAAAACGCTTCACAGGATAGTGCCATTGGATGTTTAAAGTCCACCTGACCAAGCAGGTGGGACCCCAGTTTAATGTTTCATCCGAAGGATGGCACTTTCAACAGTACAGCGCTCCCCCAGCATTGTACTGGAGTATCAATTTAGACCGTGAGCCCAAAGTCTCGAGGTGGGGCTTGAACTCACAACCTTCTGACTCAGATGTGAGAGTGCTACCAACTGAGTTAGACTGTTACTCTGTTGTATTACATTGTTACAAAGGCAAAATATAAAAGTTAGGCTATTATATTATATATAGGGATTAATAAGTTTTCCATATTTATAAGCATGATGGTTTTAATACAATAGATCATTGGATCTAAGAGCTTTTGACTTGTGGAAGACCTGTCTATTATTTTGTTCATTGCACTCATCCCCTCATTGCCTTTGGGACCACCATTCCCCAGTTGGGCTTTCTCTGATCTAATATGCCAGGCATTCGCAACAGTCAGCATGAAACCCAATCTGTCGTTGCCTCTGCACTCTGTAGCCGGTGTAACTTTTCCATTAACTTAAACAAATGTTGCTGTATTTTTAGAATGTGTAATTACCCTGCATCAGCAAGCCAGGGCTGAGACTGTGTGCCTGCGATAATGCAGGGGGAGAGAGAGAGGGAGGGAGGGGGGAAATGAGTCAAGTCCGTTGGTGCTATGCTTATAAAATGCTAAAACCTGAAACCTTTGGAGGTGGTGATTAATGAAATGCCTCTCGACCATTTGATCTGATCCCAGTGGCTGAGGTAAATTGTTTTGGTTTTCATATGCGGCATAGATAGGATTTTTAACACGAATGGATGAAGGTCAAAATTAAACACTTTGAACTACATGAAGCCAGGTCCACGCAATGCACCACCACCAGAATTACAACATGCTCTTGGGCGCTTCATCTCAAACTTAAGTGACACAGGAACAAGTGTGCTTCAGCAACAGCTCAAGGCGAGCTGCTCCCTGGTGTTACTTGCCTCCTCTGCTGGGCAGCCCAGTAAGCAGGCAAAGCCTCCTCGATGAACGTCAACACTTGAAAATTCTTTGTTGCTGGACAACAGGCACTTAGCAATGACAAAAGCTGTCATTTCACTGAAGTTGGAGCGTGCCAGTCAACAGCTGTGTCTGCCTGCCATTCTTACGCACTGAAAACATTGTGAGGGCCACAATGCGACCATTAACTCTTCCGACTCAAGTGTTTTGTTAACATTGGAATCTTGAAGCGAATGCAACCAGGGCATTGAACCTAATCCTAAACTTTGCATTTGATGTTGCGCCTTTCACGTCAGGAGGACGTATCAAAACACTTCACAGGATTTATTGTAAAATGTAACAACTCCACCATTTGTGGACAAACTCGGCAACTAATGTGCGCACAGCAATGCCCCACAAACAATCATGAGTGAATGACCAATTTTAGCTGGGGGATAATTGGCCAGGACACTGGAAAAATTCTTTTCGAACTTACCTAACCTATATCTAACCGCCTTCCTCTTGCCCCCTAACCTGTCTGAACTTTTATAATGGAACAAAAACAACCTTTCCAGTATGCTGAATGCTGAAACCACCTCCCCCCAATCCCCCAAGGCCCTGAGTGGCTCCGCCATGACCTCACCTGCCAGCCGGAAGAGCGTGGAATGCCTGAAGCCCTCTGAGTGATTGTACCTCATGAGATGGAGTGAGGTTTTCATCTGGTGGACAAAGAACCCTGGCTTCGCATATGATTCGAAAGTATTGAACCCTGAGACCCAGGCGTCCCTGTGGATCGTGAACGTGGCCTCCCTGTGAAATGTTTGGTTCTTTTGCCACTTAGTGAGGTGCAGGCTCCCCTCTGACCCAGCGCGAAGGAAATAATTTGGTCTGTCAGCTGCTTCCAGTGAGACGAGAGATCCATCTGTTGAAATCAAACAAGAAAATTCTATAATACATTAACAATAATCCTTACATTTGATAAAGCGTCTTTCAGGATGTCCCAAAGCGCTTCACATGATATACTGTATACTATCTTTTTATGTGTGAATTCAGTAGCTAGTATGCGTACATGAATGTTCCACAAACAGCCATGAAGTGAATGATCAATTTTATCTTAATTATCTTAAACCTGGACTCATGGTAGAATTGTTCTCTCGTGTTTATGCATCAATGGGACAGATGGCAACCAAAATCTGTGAGATATGTAAAATGAGTGCTGGGTGTCAGTGATGTGGGTCTTGGAGGTTACAGGCATACTAACCTTGTAGTTTAGGTGAGTACAGTCCTGGAGTCAGCATAAATAGGGACATTATTCCTAGACTGGAGAATTCTCCTGTCGCTGGAAAAACACCACCTGACGAATCGGCCGCCACCACTGTGTCTTTGTCCAAGTAAGTGACCAGTGTGTAAGGACCATTTCCCAACACTGCAGAAGGAATAGAGTATTCAGATCCACTGGGAAAAATGAAGCACCCCATAGAAGTGGACATCATCTGCTCCTGCATTATTATGGGAATTAAGATTTTACTAACATTTTTCCCTTCCTAATAAGAACAAATCTACATTTTTTTAGCACTTTATCAAAGCCCTTACTGTCAAATGTAGTGACTCATTCTATAGGCACAGTAAACACCAACAAGGTCCCACAAACAGGTTTGTGGTAGATGATCATTTAATTTGCACATTGCTGGCCAGAACGACAGGAGACACTTGTTCTTTGAACAAGTCCATGGATCTTTAACATCCATCCGGAGGGCAGAGCTTTTAGTTTAAGTAAAACCAATTGTATCCCCTTAGTTTGTTGTGTTAATTTATCTTTCGGCATTGAAGTCTGGTTCCAAATCCATTGAGTAGCATACAGTTCTTTATAGACAAGTGCTCAGCTGCCTAGTTGTAATAAACAATGTGGTTTTAGCTATCGCTGTGTAGCTTTTCTAGTGGATCCTCAGCACCCTCTAGGGGCTTAGGCTGATCAGCACTCGATTAACTGATACTCCATTACCCAACATCTCACGTAGTAACAAGTTCACTTCAAAATGCATCTCTCTCTGCCTTGTTTAGCATTCGCTGACCTCATGTATGCAGTAAGGAACTAATATACAGTAGGGTGTGACCCTGAGTCAGGTTATGGGTTCAAGGCTCTCATTGCTGACCATCCAATGAAGTGCCGACAACGGAGATCAGTCAGAGACCTAAACATAGAGGTACATTTAAACCAAGATGATAGAAAACTGTGCAGGTGTCCGGACTAGCTCTCCGCAGATGAGTCTTACCTTTGTTATAATATTCGCAATCATAAGCTGAAAGAAAGGAGAACAACAGGTCACTTAATGGAGCAAGTTGGATTTCTCAAGTCTCGGCATTACTTTTCTCAATGTCAGGGCAAACGAGCCATGAGCAGCAATTAAATAAAATAAGGTTCTTCAGTTTTGAAAGAGGATGTCGCACAGGGGATGGGATTAAGAAAGTAAACCCAGAACAATACTTTCGGATGCACCGAGACAGTAGAGGCTGCACTCTCCACCTCTCAAAGCCAGTCAGGAACCTCGGCGTTTTGTTCGACCCTGAGCTGTCCTTTCTCCCTCACATCCGCACCACAACTGGCACCGCCTTCCATCACCTCCGGAACATCGCCAGACTACGCCATTACTTCACCCCTCACGCTGCTGAAACCCTGGTCCACGCCTTTGTCACCTCAAGGCTGGACTATGGGAACTCTCTCCTCGCCGGCCTTCCCGCCACCTCCCTCCACAAGCTGCAGGTCATTCAGAACTCTGCAGCTCGTGTACTGTCCCGCACCAGGCTTCGGGACCACATCACTCCCACCCTCGCTCGCCTCCACTGGCTCCCCATCCCCCAGAGGATTGATTTCAAGATCCTCATCCTCACCTACAAGGCCATTCACGGCCTTGCTCCCTCCTACCTCTCCAACCTACTATCCCCCTACCTACCTGCCCGTACCCTCCGTTCCTCCGGCTCTGGTCTGCTCCACGTCCCCCGCCCCAATCGCCCTACCATCGGTGGTCGGGCCTTCAGTCTCTCAGCCCCGAGGCTCTGGAACTCCATCCCCCAGTGCCTTCGCCTTGCTTCCTCCCTCTCCTCCTTCAAGGCCGGTCTCAAAACCTTTCTCTTTGACCGAGCCTTCAGCTCCTCTCGACTCTCTTCCCCCTTCTCGCTCCCTCCCATCCCTCCCCTCACCCTGACCATTTCCCCCCTCCTCGCTCCCTCCCCTCACCCTGACCATTTCCCCCCTGCTCGGGTCATGACCCAACTGTGCAGCGCCTTGGGACGTCCTCCTGACGTGAAAGGCGCTTTATAAATGGAATCTTGTTGTTGTTGTTGTTGTAGAAAATAAGGACATAGTTTTAGGCAAAGAGCAATTTTAGGATTGACACCGGGAAGTAATTCTTTAGCCAAAGGGCAATTAATAACTGGAACATGCTGCTCAGAACGATGGTTGAGACCAGGTCATTGGACACATTAAGCACATAATTAACAATGCAAGGGGACGATAGTCAGATATGTGGTCTGGAATGAGGAGATCAAATTGGCCAAAGGGCCTTCTTCAAATCTCTCTTGTGATCTCTGGTCATGGGTTTTTTAAGGTGCTCATTTTTCCCTTCCTCTCTGTAACCTACAGGCTTTCAAAACTCAAGCCAAGCTTGGTGAACTAAGCATGGCTTTAAATTTTATTGCTCCTTCTTTAGCATTTCTAGTGATGACACATGCTATTGGACTTGATCCTTTATCTAGGTCCTCTAGTGTGATCACACAATCTCAAGATTGGCTCAGACGAAGGAGGCCATTCTGCCCATTAGATCTCATCCTTCCAGAATGCCCACCGTCGACCATCATCCCATCCCAGCAGCAAGGTGTTATCTTAAATAAGTCCCACATCCTGGCCTCAACCACCCTTCCCATTAAGGTATTGCCTGAGTTCATTTATAACCATTTACAACCAATTATAAACAAACTCTCCACTTCCCAGCATTGCAGTACTCACGGCAGACTGTAGGTGATCTCCAGTCAATGGGAACGCCATGCTGGCAGCACAGATGGGCATACGCTAACACACTGGTGCAGAAACACTGGCAGTCTCCTCCCCGGTTGCAGGCACACGTGTCCGTCAGGCAATTGGAATAAAACCAGGTAACATCAACCTAGAGTCATAGAAAAAATACAAGTGAGGCACAATTAAATATCTGGGGAAGGCAGTTTTACTCCAGTAAAGTCCTATAAACAACCATGAGAAACTCACTTCTCTACCTACAAAAAAATAAAAAGAGCAAAAAGTCACATTGGCTCAATTGCTCAGCTTCCTCTCCCCCCATCTTTAGATTTCTGATGTCCCTGCAGTCAGCCTGGCTCAGCTAGTAGCACACTCGCTTCTGGGCTGGAAGGATAGGAACATAAGACAAAAAAAGACCAAGGTCCATCTAGTTCGCCTTCCACCTTCCTGGTGGTCACATGCCCATATGTCCCAAACTACCTATGTATTATATCCCATAATGTCAGCTCCTAAAAGAAATCTATCTAATCTGTGTTGAAAGAATCAACACTTTGACGTGGGTATGGGCTGAAGCTCCCTGTTGGTCCATGAGTTTACAGTGTAGGTCGCTACTCTAGTACTCTCAGTAATAAGGAGGGGGTGTGCTGCATTGTCAGAGCTGCTATTCTTCATATGAGACATTAAACCATGATCTCTATCTGCCCATTTCACATCCCCACTTATTCAAAAAGAGAGTTGAGTTTCTGCTGGTATCCTGGCCAACAAATCCTACAGATTAGCCTGTCTGCCAATAAAAAAAAGGCAGTCACTAGACTTGACAATAATTGCTCTAGAGAACTTTGAGACATTCTAAAGTATATAAGCTGCTATGAAAATGTGAGGTCTCTCTCTTTACTCAATCAATCAATAGTGCAATAATAGATGAAGAATAATAAAACTTCTCGTAATTGTGTGCACTCACCACAGGATGGCACAACTCAAAGGCCGAACTCAATAATATCCCACATTCCTTCTTGGCGAATGGCTCTCTGAGTGGGTTTACGTTGCATGGGTTGCGGATGTCTGGGCTGTTCACACACTAGAAAATAAGGAAATGATTGATTGGTAGTTTGCTCACTTTGCAATATCACTTCTGTGGATTGACAACTCTGACCCTGGACCATGTGATTGACAATTCTGATCCTGGTCTCGTAGACGTAGATTTCACAGGATTGAAATAAATCTATCCCATTGATTGTCTCACATCCAAAATTACCCACCATACCGTCATCTTAGATTAGGCTCCCGTTCCGTCTGATAAAGCATTTTGCAATATTTTCGTATATGAACCCCAAAACGCTATATCCCTTATTATTTAGGAAGGCATGAGTAGACTTGCATTTTATGTCATTTTGTCTGAAATCTATTTACCTCCATCGCAGTCCAGCTGTTGCCAAATTCCTGGGGGTTTGGTGATTCCATGTGGTCTGGCGTCTTCATTTCATTAGCTGTTTTTGAGTCAAAATTCCCACACAGCCCTGATAGCTTGCCCTGCCGAAAAAATAGAAGACTCAATGTGATTGTCACTGCCTGGGGGCCCTCTGTGTCCAACGCTTTCTCCTCTCAAGGCATCCAGATTGGCTTTCCACAAAGATAAAGTTCATCACTAACCAAACTTCCCATCCTGGCTGGCACTAAATTCCTGCTCAACATAATGAAAATAAAGTCCAGTGGAGTCCAGTGCTGAATATCTCTTACCTGCCACCTGGGGCCAACCTGAACATGTATCGTGGTCCCTTGGTCCCACAGTAAAGTGATCTCTTCAGTGGGGAAATGCACCACGGTGAAAGAACCTGCTTTCCACACGTGAACGTTCTCCCGTGGGTCGATCACACTGGAAGGATTCTAGGCAAATCCACACCAAATGATTAATGAAACATTCAATAAAGAGCAGGAATTAAAGAATCTTTCCCCCCGCCCACCACCACCACGTCCGCCCCTTTCCCCCACCAGTGGAAGAAAGAACATCAAGCCTGAGTTCCTATCCTGGATCTTTTTAGAATCTGGGGAAAAATGGTTTGTGACTATTCACTAAGTCCACCAACTGCATGTATTCCTCCCATGTTCAATGGGGCGGTAATGGGAAATTCATTAGAAACAGGATCCAAGCTAATAGGTCAAACTCTCATAAATGTTTAGCGACCAATGTTTAGTTCCTGATTGTATTCCTCTCCGCCAATTCCCAATTACAGGTTACTTAAATTTCCATATTTGGCTGATGGAAACAATGTTTATTTAAAGATGTTTTTGCATTCTGACCCTGTGAAAGTATCTCTGGCACATTCCAAAGATGTTGACATAAACCATAGGTTTAGAAAGTTGTGACACTGCGCCTCGCACATGGTTTCTGTTCGGTTTTCCACATCTTTACAATACAATACAAGCCTACATTTGTACAGAGCCTTTCATGTTTGGAGGACATCCCAAGGTGTTGAACAGTCAGGGATTAGGGATTAGGATCCGAGCCGGGGGCAGGTGGGCGTTGGGTTCAGGGAGGGTGGAGTACAGAGAGAGTAGGAGGGTGGCTGAAGGCATGGTCTTGAGCCGTGCCTTGAAGGGAATGTGTACTTACAGCATGTCCAGTGTCATCGTCAAACACCAGGAAAGTACGACCGATAGAGACAGACAGAGCCTTCCTACAAATAGCTCCGTTGTAACAGTCAGTGTTTTCAGAAATGATAGACAGGTGTGAATCTCCAAGGCTCTGAGAGAAGGAAAGTTCTTTGTTAGTGTGTGTTAGAGATGTGGGATAACAAGAGCACAGATCAATTTGTATGGTATAATTTACACTGTAGTGACAAGAAGATCACAATAGAGAGATCTAAGAGCTGAGCTGGATCCAAGATGATGTGCTTGGCAGTGGAATGTTGGAATCAAGTCAACCTCCGTTGTGATCTTGGTAGCCCGGTTCCTGAGCCAGGTGGGTCTGCAGTACTGCAGGCCACTGTTTATAACAGACTAGCCAGCCTGACTCATTGCAGTACTTGGAGGGGCAAACAAATCACTGAGAGCATTGACTCAGTTCCTGTTAACTCTACAAACCAAAGCCCTAAAGGGTAGGTTATGAGGGAGAGAAAGGACATTCCGTTCCAGACACAGAATTGTCCACATGTAGGTGACATACATTTGTGCAGCTCTCAGTCTGGTTTGGATGCTCTTAAACAACGATGATGGGTTTCTGCAAGTGTTAAGACACCCCTCAGGCTGGGCAAAATAAAAATAGATTAAGACTAGATGGAATTTTGAACTTCCATTAGTGTAAAAGGAATTGAGGGATGCAAAGCAACAATAATTCACAACCAAAAAAGTAAATCTTTTACCTTCACCAGATAAACCTTGCAAGCACCGATAAAGTCATAAAGGAGTCCATCAAAAGTCTTATAATGGCGATCACCATAAGCTGTACACATCGAAGGGCAGGGCTGAAACGTGCACTGGAATGTTCCCTGCTGGCAAACACTGAAAGGTACGTCACCAATAAGGAGAGTAAGTATTTGACTCATCAGTATATGTATTTTGTTTGTTGTTTACAGTGAAGTACTCGCTATCATTAAACATTTAGCAAAAGCGATCTTTTAATTGCGTCATGGGGGAGAAGGGAGTAGAGGCTTGGGAGAGAAGATTAGGAGTAGTGGAGGGCTTGTATGGAGTATAAATATCAGGATGGACTAGTTTGGCCAAATGGCCTGTTTCAATGTTGTAATGTCCCATGTAAATTTATGTAATTACGATTGGATGAAGTTTGAGACACTTCAGTATCCGAGTTGGATAATGGGGATTCTTTGAAGCATATCCCACCAAACTGCTGTTAGCAATGTGAGTGTTGCATATCTCGACTGCCTAGGCCTGAAATCCCAGCTAGTTTTGTTGGTCTTTACAAAGCCTGAATTCTGGACTTTGGACATTGGCTTACAATTTGACTTCCAAATTCACACTGGATTCAAGAATTTGCCACAATTCTGTGCCATTTTCAATTTGAAGACTAACGACAAGGTGGAATTTCAAGCCTTTTGTCCGTAACTGCTGACATGCTGAGAGTCTGTTAATCTCCCATATAACTGTGCGCGTCTCCACCCAATGTGAGGAGTCATTGTTGAACAAAAGCCCTGGCCCTCGCGTTAAAGGCAAACACTGTACTGGTTTAAGAACCAGCATGACGGAGCTACCACTGTCATTGTCTCACTTACCAGGAATGACAGGGTGATGTGACCAGGTCACCAGGAAAATATTCCTTTCCCTTCCACAGGCAGGGGCATTCATCTGGCTTAAAGCATTCATCTTCATGTCTCACGAGGCTGATAAAAGATACATGCAGCGCACGGTAAATAACAGGCTTATTTTATCCCTCCTCTTTTGCCGCCTACGGTGTTTGCCAATGTCACCTCCAGCGCAGGTAAATTTAACAAGGGAATTGGATCGTCTTTCTTTGAGTGAAGTCCTGCCAGGTACTTTTAAAGGGATTTGTCTACACGCATGCCTGAGAGATGGGAGAAAACTAGCCAATATTTCACTCTAGCAAAAAAATGTATGTGTAAATAACAAGCCTCTTGTAACACATGTCATGTGCCAACGTGCTCATGTGTCTCCCCTTCATTACATACATGCCTTGTTCACAGAGTGCTTTTGTATATGTGCTTTATGCAGAGTTGTCTCTATGTCAACTCTGCTCTTCTACTTGTGTACTCTTTCTCTTTCTCTTTCTAGCGATGTTAGTTCTATGTGACGATAACAGGGAAATCCCATTATTAGCTGACAAGGCACTGTGAGTACTACTGAACGGAATTTTTACCTCAGTGGTTTTAGAAAGCATACAGGACTTTCATTGCCCCAATCCACTGTGTTTGGAGCTCGAATAACTGAATTGAAGGGACTGTATCTCAGCAGCTCTCTTCAGCCACATCTAATCTTCCTGGGGCTTAGCAGGGTCAAGTTTGCCTTATTCCTTAACAGGATTCCTCAAGAAGCGATCCTGATTTGCCACTACATAGAGACTCCTGACAGTACATCTCCCCATCTCGTAGGAATTGGCCTCTGACTTAAATTATGCCTGGGATTCTAATGGAATTCCTTATTAAGGAACGCTGTCATTTAATGTCTCAAATTATACTCTTCTAAAGTCATGGTGATTTGAGCTCTATACATGCATTTGAGTCACAAATCACAAGGTCGGTTTGGAAGAAGAAACCCCTTTGGCGCGTCTGATCTCATCCTTCCAGAACACTCATCCTAACCATCCTCCCATCCCAACATCAACCTTTTTTTTAAAAGATTTAATCCAGTTTCCTGACCTTGACCACCTTTCCTGGTAACCTGTTCCAGTGATTAATTACCCTTTGGGTAAAGAAAACCCTCTTGGTGTCTGTTCTGAACTCGCCCTTTGTAAATCTAAACCTGTGTTCTATTCTTCTTGGTGCATCCTAAAGTAAATGTCATGTGTTAGGAATACCAGTCACCTCCACCGCAAGCTTAAAACAAAGGTGATACCAGATGTGCAGTATAACTTAACCAACAGTGGCCAGATGTTGTGGGAAACAGCATTATTGAGCTGATATATGTACAGTAGTGCTTGGGAATACATTTCACAGAACACAAATGTGAAACTCTTTGAAGTACACGATGAGTGAATACTCACCAGCCACATGTGAAAAGGCTGGTTTAAAAAAAAATCAGCTACATTTCTGCTTTTCATTTGCTCTCTTTTTTTTGGAAGCCATTCTTGCTAATAACCCAGGGACATTCAGTTGCGTTTTATTCCCACCGGTGTGTGACACTCAGGCTCAGAACTGTTCAAAGAATATACAGCAACACATTCAGAGAAGAAGCATAACACAGGAGTTTCATCTGTGTAATGTTACCCGGCAGATAGAGCAGGCATTAACAGATTCCTTTGCTAACAAGCCACCAAGATAGGATCACTTTCTGCAATCAAAGAATTCATAACAACTCCCCATTCACTCTGCCGCTGAGGCAGCAGATTAAACACTTCTAAAAAGATGAGAATGTTAAATCTAAGATTAATAACAAAAGTGCTTTGCCAAGTATGATCTATCAAAGAGCAGACTGTAACTTCCGAATCTGTGTGCAACTACATAGTATAGTATGAGCATGCGTAGTTCATGTAGTATGTGTCTAAGTGTCTGACATTTTGATCATTTACTTGGTAAAGGCCAGCCCATGCTTTGGCTACTGAATATACTACAGTAATAATACTACTACTACTAATTAATGATAATCTTTGTATTTGATATAAGGTGTATAATGCCGACAGGTCTCAAAGTGCTTTACAGTGCTTTACTGGTCGGTGTAGTGACTGTATTTGTTGTCTCTCTCCCTGCGGCTGAAGCTAAATCTAAATCCCTGCGGAGAAAGCTGTGATGCCTTGGGCTTGCTTTAATTAAACAGTGCTGATGTGCTGTGTACTCTTCCAGGATTCGGTTAATCTTCTTAGAAGCGACCTGATCCACAGGCTGCTTATTTGTTACTTCAGACAAAATATACAGCAACTTACTGAGAGAAGCTAATGGATGAGCCACGTCTCTCATTGCTGCTGGAATACCACATTCTACACTCGTAATACTAATAATAACAATAATAATCCTTGCATTTGTTGTAGTGCCTTATCACATTGTCAAGATGTCTTAAAGCACTTAGGAACATAGGAACAGGCCAACTGTCCAGCGCCTTGGGACGTCCTCCCAACGTGAAAGGCGCTCTATAAATGAAATCTTATAGTTGTTGTTGTAGGGCATTCAGCCCCTCGAGCCTACAAACTCACAGTCACTACAATTTACAATAAATCATGTGAAGCGCTTTGAGACGTCCTCCCAATATGAATGGCAGAATATCAAATGTTCAAATTATTATTATTGATATATTTTGGTAATAAAGACCCATTGTCTGTGATGCTAATCTTTATTACTTTGAATATTTCTCTTCATTTCACTTCCAACGATTACTCCAAGTTTCCATATCAGTGAGGAAGAGCAAAGGGACCACAGCAAAACTCCACTTTTCATCCATCAGCCTCTTCTGTTTACTATTCTCCAGCTCACTTGGCCATTAAAACCCTACACCTTCATTTAAATGCCGAATCCTATCAAATGCCTTCTGAAAACAGCAGTATATTATTTCCACTTGGTATTCCCGGTGCACTAATTAAGCCATTTTCTCAGAGAATACCAATGCAGTTGAGAATAATGATTCATTGTTGCCAAAAAGATGTTGCCCCTCTTTGTGGCCTCCATAGTCTTCAGATACAAGCTGATAACATTCCATAGAATGCTCCTTAGCATTTGCCCTACCAGCATTGTTGGACTAAATGATAAATTCCATACTTCAGTATGTCAGGCTAACGCAGGTTACCCTTCCCTCCACAAGGCTGCATCCGTGGAAGTTCATAGAGAATTAACCCAAATCCTCCTGTTCCTTCACTATGTGCTCCACTCTAAATATCCGTCCTTCAGATGAGGCAAGGTCTCATCTGCCTGTTCAGGTGGATGTTAAAGATCCCATGGCACTTTTCAAAAAGAGTTTTCTCACTCCCGGTGTCCTGGCCTACAAACCCCAAAATAAAATTGGTCGCTCATTCCACGGCTGTTTGTGGGACATTGCTGTGCGCAATTGGCTGCTGCGTTTCGCCCACAAAATATACAGTCAATTCACTTTACAGTGTATTCTGTGAAGCGCTTTGAGACATCTAGAAGACGTGAAAAGCGCTATGTCAAATGAAAGGATTATTATTATTATATCCTATGAAGCGTTTTGAGACATCTCTCAATGATTTGATAAAGCGCTATATCAATTGCAAGGATTATGATTATTGTTAACAGGAAAGTTAGAAATAAATGGAATTGAGTGGGGAAGAATTACAAGTATTTTCCTGCCGTGATATTTCTTACTTAAATTAAAAAGTGTTGATACCTCTCAATACTCATCCTTGAATCCCGATAAGCTTCTTACTCAATACCTGATCCCATAAGGCCGCCTGTCTATCACTCAAATTAAAATGGAAAGCAATTTATTGGGAGAAAACTCAATGTAATAAAGCTGGATCAAGTCTCATTATTGCTGGAATTCTTGTGGGTTTACTGTCAAGAAACGGAATCTAATTTTTTCTTCGAAAAGGCTGAAGAACTTCCTTCTAGCTTTTTCTGCTTAAGATCCTGGCACAGTAGAAGCACGTTCAGAAGCTTAATTTCATCACTTATTTCTTAAATATTATCCATTCTACAAAGACATCAGATAATTGCAGATTCCTTGTGTTGAGGCTGAAGTACTGGTCAAAGATCCTCCAGATAAATTGTCCGGGGATGTTTTGGTTTGCTGCTTTTGCCTACAAATACACTTGTCAGCAGTGACCTGTGAGGGGTTTTGAAACAGTTTGATGTTATAGGTGCTGTATAAAATGCAATGATTAGAACATGATGTTCTCTTGTCCAAAGTTCTAGCCTGGCTCAGTTGGTAGCAATCCTGCTTCTGAGTCAGAAGGTTATGAGTTCAAGACAAACGGATGGGTTTTGAGCACATAGCCTTGACTACCACTCCAATAGTGTTTTGGGGGTTAAATTGTTGCATTGTCAGAGGTGTCTTCCTTCACATGAGACGTTAAACCCAGAGAGTGCAAATTCTCTCCTCGGAGGAACTTATCTGTCTCACCTCATTTGGAAAATACTTGTCCTTCAGGTGAGATGTTAAACCAGGTCCCATCTGCCTGTTCAGGTGGACACTGAAGATCCCATAGCACTAGTTGAAGAGAAAAGTTTCTCCCACTGGATAAAATTGGCCATTCACTTCATGGCTGTTTGTGGCACATATCTGTACACAAAATGTACTTTGTAGGCAAATGCAACACCACTCATTACACTTTACAGTGAAATCATGTGAAATGCTTCAAGACATCCTGCTGATGTGAAAGGCACTATAACAAATGAAAATTTGATTTATCATTAGGTTAAGGCTTGGAAGAACCACAAAGTGTGTGTTTCGGTACTGCTGAAGTTTAACCATCTAAAACTGTATAACTTCCCATTGAGAGCATTGTCTGGTAAACTTGACCAGCTAGGACTAGCTTAAGATACGATTTGGGCTTGCAGAGCGAACAGGAGCCAATTGGAAAGAATCCCTGCCACCCCCCACCCCCCCCACCCCATAGCTGGTAAGTTGGGTGGGGAGCGAGAAACAAGATATGAAAAAACCTAGGTAAAGAACGTGCCAAGTACAAAGGTACACAGACCTAAGAATTCTCATGTGTAAGGTGGGTTGCACGCAGAAACATGAAAAGTGAAAAGTGAATCAG